CCTGCCATGCCACAGCCCAGGCTGAGGCCCAAGCTGCAGGTGGGTAGAGCCAATGGGGCCTCTATTAATCCCATATACAGCCAGCAAATCCTCAGTCAGGATCAGGACAGGTGTTCAGGGCATTTGCTGTCTACTTGGCCTAATCCATCCCAGGAAGACACTGCACAGCGCCTGGGTCCATCTCTGCTTACCCAGGCTGCTGACCAGGAGCCTCCTGAGGAAATAGCCTAGGTCTGGCATAAGTCTGAGAGCAACAATCTCAGCTTCTGTTCTTAGATCCCAGGCTTGAAGCACTAGTCCCACAGCCCAAGGATGTGGACAGAGACACAGGACTAGTCTGAATGGTCTCTCGAGGACAAGGGCAAACCATGGCATCACACGACTCAAAGCCACTGTTGTGCATAGCATCATAGTGCGACCCACCTGGGCCCCCAGCCAGGGCTCCACAGTGAGCTGCAACTGCAGCCTCAGCTCAGCCCTGAGCATTCCCAAGTGCCCACATCCCTGTCCCACATAAAGGGCTCTGAGTCCCTGCTGCTGGGCTCACAGGAAGGGGCAAGTTCCTGAGGCTTCTGCTGTCCTGCCTGGCCCTGGAAATGTACTAGAGTCACAGAGGAAGAGAGGGCACAAGGCATGTCACCATGGGCCAGGAACTGGCCTGGGACTACTGTGAGGGCCAGGATCTGAGCTCAACAAGTTCAAAGCAAACACTTTTCCTTCCCTGCCCAGAAAATCCACTGTCAGCCACTCTACCATTTCCTGAACATTTGCAAGAATAAGAAAGAAGCATAAGGCCCATGGGAGAGGAGCATTCTTTCTTTTGGTGGTATTTTTTATTATTATGAAATTTTATTGTTTATTCAGACAGGATCACCATAGTTCAGGCTGGCCTAGAACTCATTACTTTGCCCAGTCTGGCCTTAAACTTGTGGCAGTCCTCCTACCTCCACCTCCTAAAAGCTTGGTTTCCAGGTGTGCATGGCCATGTCTAACATAGTCTTGGCTCTTCAGGTGAGGAGGGAGAGGACCGCACCCCACACAGCCCCACTCTGGTTTCACAGGTTCAGACAGAGACGACAGCTTATCTGAACCCAAGCTGCTGACCAACACACAGGGGAATAAGATGAGGGGAAAAGGCACAGGGAGGACTCAGAGGGTGACCTTCTGAATGCCACACACTGGAGTTCTAGGAATTTTCCTCTCGTCACCTGACATCTTTCCTTCTATCTTGCACAATCCTTCCCAGGGGAAAAGAGGCAGGTATCTTGACATGTGATTCCGAAGGTGATTTGGGCAGTTGACTCACCCTAGCAGGATAGGCCACCATAGAAGGGGTGGCCTTCAGATGGCCTATAAATAGATTTCCTGGAGGAAAACCTCAGTAGTCATCCTCCTCCTTCCATGAACCCCAGGCTCACCATCTACTCTAAAGTCATGGGCCCGAGTCACCTGTGTCTGGGCCTCTTCCTGCTGGGGGCACTGCAGATTCAAGCGCAGGACTCCTCTCCACCTGAGACTTCAGGACTATCTCTGAGCAAGGTTCCCTTCCAGCAGGACTTCCAGGAAGACCAGGTAAGGACTCTGGTGGGCACCTGCAAAGAGTCCCTGGGTGACAGGGACCGTGGGACCAGAGAAGAGGGGAGGCAATGGGGCTCAGGGCAGTGTTCGGTGACAGGAAAGAGACTCAGGGAGTCCTGACCCAGCGCATACCAGGTAGGGACATCTTCGGTCCCTCTGCATAGAAGGGAAAACTGTGACTCAGGAAGGCCCAACAGCTGAGGGATAACTCCTCACCCAGGGTCCCACCTGGCCCTGGGAGGACCCCGCTTCTGCCAGCTTCTTCTCAGGCAACCCCACCTCCACACTCTACTGTGAAAGCATCCTGGGAGGGGTAGCACAGGGAGATGGCGCTAGGAAATCCCACGGGCTGGGCTGTCATCACTGAATTCCAGTTCCAGGGGAAGTGGTTCGTCATAGGCGTAGCAGAAAACACAATTCGGAATGGAAGCCAAAGACACTTCAAAATGTACAGAGTCACCTATGAGCTGAAAGATGACCACAGCTACAATGTCACCACCACACTGCTCAGGTAAAGCAACAGCCTCCTGTGGGTCTGAGAAGCAGAGCAATGGCGTAGCTAAGGGGGGACCAGAGCTGAGGGAAGCAGTCATTCCTCTCGTCACACTCTTCCAAACCCATCTCCCTGACTCATTACCACCGGCCTTCATGGGCGGCTCTAGCACAAGGACACACACTCAGTAGAAACAGTGCAGAGAGCTGGGTGTGAGGCGGGAGGAGGGACACTGGATCCACCTGGGATCCCGCCAAGACCACTAACTATGGCTTGCACAGAAGTGACCTTAAAGGAGCCTGTAATATATTCAGGTCAGTCTAGGAAGCTGGAATAGGGGGTTACAAGGTGGAAGACAGCGCAGGCAACTTGGCAGGACCTTGTCTCAAAATAAAAACTAAAAAGTGCTAGGATGTGCTAAATGTAAAAGCCATGAGTTCAATCTCCACTACACTCACAAATGAAAGAGGCAGGGAGGTGAAACTTAGGGGCTAGTGGGCTCTGAGAGAGGGGGCTTCACCCTAGAAGGCACCAAAGCAGTCAGGCATCAGCTCGGCCCCCAAGCAGGTGCTGATGAGCAGATGGGAAAGGAGTGACCCCTGATGAGGCACTGGAGCAGGACCTGCCTGGGGCAAGGTCCAATATCTGGGCAGAGTTGGATCACGAGAGCTGTTAGAAGCAAGGAAGCACAGATGCAGAATGGGTGAGAAGTTAGACAGGAAGCCCACACTCACACACCTGCATTGGGTGCTGTCGATGTCCACGGGATGATTTGAAGTTGGAGCACTTGAAGTTGGACGGGCTCCGGGAATGCAGGTTTGAGGACTTAGCTCCAGGAAGCAGGGATGGTGGAGATTCAAGAGAGAGGTACGGTGTGGCTCAAGTGCTATGTCGATAATCTGCATGCAACAGATTGCAAGCTCAGAGGAAATTGCAAAAGCAGGTAGGAGAGGGAAGCCAGGAGATAAGAGCAGGAACCAGTGCCTGGGATCTGCTCATGGGAAAGACCGCCTCAGGAAGGCACCTGAGGACACACTGAGTGCTGGAGGGGGGCAGAGCATGCAGTCAGAGGCTCAGAGTGGAACAACCAGGACCATGGCCAGAGGCAGGTCCTGCCACAGTGAGGGAAAAGGCTTTCATGGTCTGGTCAAGACTGGGGCTGAGCTGACCTGGGGCTTCAAGAGAAACCTGTTTCAGCAGGAGCCTCTTCATCCAGTTCAGGGAGTTAAAGTCTGTCAGCTCCCTGCTCCATCTCTGTCATCTCTCTCTCCCACAGGAACAACTTTTGTGACCACTGGACCAGAACTGTTGTCCCAAATGCCTATCCTGGCCAGTACACCCTGGGCAATATTACACGTGAGTCCTAAGTGAAGGGGCTCTGGGGTTGGGATTTGGGGGCAGACTCCTCCCAGAAGGACATGGCCTCCCTACAACTCCATGCGCATGCTGTCCTTTTGAGAGACCACCCCACTGACTGTCGAGGTGGTAGGTGATGGTCTCTTCACACCGACCAGGGCAGGGATGACCCTCACTCTCCACGTTACAGTTTATGTTGGGACACAGAGCTACACCATGAGAGTGACCAACACCAACTACAATCAGGTAGCCATTGTGTTCTTCGAGAAGACCTTCAGAAACACACAGTACTTCAAGGCATCCCTGTATGGTGAGTCATTTCTCCATCTGCTCGGGGACCTGACTCCTGGTCAGTCTTTGAGGAAGGAACCGTTTTTCCCAACCACACAGTCTTGTCCACTTTGAGAACCCTCAGGGAGGAGGCAATTTCGCAGACCCTCCACCAGAAAGGGGCGTGAGGCCTCCTTCTGCTGTATTTATGGTGTCAGACTGGTTTTGGAGCATACACTTTTCATTTAGGTATTTAGCAGCCTGAGCCAGGAGCACTGTGAAATTAATCCTAGCCTGAAAGGCAGAGCAATGACCTGCCTCAAACAAACATTTAAAACTTAGAAAGTATCTCTCTCTCTCTCTCTGCTTGTCACTCACTGACAATCTTGTCCCACAGCAAGAACCAAGGAGTTGAGCCGCGAACTGAAAAGGTACTTCGTCAACTTTGCAAAGTACCTGGGCTTCACTGAGGACAACATCATGTTCACTGCACCCAATGGTAACGGACGCCTGGGAGAGAGGAAGGGACTGTGGGGTTCTCCAGGCCTGCTGGTGCCTCACCGGGGAAACGGGGCAGGAGAGACTCAGTCCCCAGCTCCTGGCTCTGGAAAGTTGGTGGTGAATAGCTAGCATTTGTGGGTCCCCGAGGACCCTGGCACTAAATGCCCTCCCTAACAGTTAGGCCAAGGGCTTCCCAGCTGACTATGTCCAGTCCCCATTCCACGTTCCACCATCAGCACTGCCCTGAGCAACCTCTGCTCCTTACCTTGGTTCTTGGTGTCCTGACCAACTGCTTCAGTCTTCTACCCTGGGTCACTCCTTCTCCATACCCTGTGCCTGCTCTTTGGCCCACCTCAGCCTTCCCCAGCCCCCTGCTCATTCCTGACATAGGAGATGTCCATACTGAACACTGGCCTGGTCTGCATGAGAAATTCCAGCTAGGTCACTCAGGTCACCGCCTGGGAGGCTGAGGGGACTCTGCAGTAATAGGCCGGGTTCTTGGTTCAGAGCCACTGTGAGGCCCGGGACCACAGGCGTCCCATTCCCAGACCCTGAAATCTGAAAACTCAGAGACTTTACATGTTGGCCAGGCTGGGCCTAAAAAGGACATGGGATCGCACAGACACAGCAACACACACACACACACACACACACACACACACACACACACACACTGCTGCTCTGATATTCTTTTCCTTCCTTCTCCCCCACAGATCAGTGCATCGATGACTGAAAAGGCAGTGAGTATGGCTGGGCAGGGGTGGATGAGAAGTCAGGGAGTGGGAGGCTGGGGGTCTTGAGGCTGCCTTTGTTCCTCCCTTCCCTGAAACCGGAAGCTGGGTCATCCTTATTCTGCTGCCCCTTCTCAGGAGCTTCCTGTCTCTTCAACCGCTGTTCTTATCACTTCTGCCCAAGGTGCCCATTGTCTGCCCCAGCTGCCACGATGACGGGGAAGGAGCTAGAAGCCCGTTTTTACAGTGCTCCTCTGGACACCCATCGCCCTCAGTTCTAGCCCTCCTGCAGTGGATCCCCCTTTTCTACAAAATAAACATATTCTACCAGTCTTCTTGTCTTCACTCACTGTCTTCCGGCCCATGCGGAGGGGAAGGGAAAAGAGAGGGCTCTTCTCACCACCGCGCTCCCAGGGCCTGCCGTCCCCAGAGCCCAGCCTGATGTTACGTGGAGAGGAGGAATATCAAATATCTGGAAGGAGAGAACCTGAAGGCCAGAAAGGAAATAAGCTGGTCTCAAAAACAACAGCGAGTGCCTAGTGCCTACCTCCAGACATTAGCCAGGAAAAACCTCAGGTGCCTAAGCCATAGGCTTCTGCAGGACAGAGACAAGCCCTCTATACACCACAAGGAGCAGCCACCTCCAAAGTTTAAGCTATACTTTAGGATGCATGAGATATAGAATATCCTAAGCAAATGAATGTGATTCCGACTCAATTATACCTAATGGTAATCTCATTTACATTGTGATTTTGATGTTGATCCCCATGGGCTTTGGACACTATGGTCACCAGAAAGTAAACACTCACGTAGCAGGGAAGTGCTCCCTCACTTCCTTGATGTTAGGAGGCTGAAGAATTCAGTTAAGGCATACAGGCCATGCAGAAGTGGAGGTAGGGTTTATCATACATTCATTAATGGACCCAGAGGAGTTCCAGAGAGGATCCTGGGGGCTGGATCCCAAAGATCCACCAGCGCCCAAGGGGACAGAAGGATTACCATGCATGATTGGCCCTTGGGAGTCCCTTTGGGAGGCCCATCTGGCTTCTTCCATCGGCACTAGCCAGGCAGTTTTCCAAGGTTCCTCATTCCTCCGGGGCCTTTCGGGTTCGAACGGTCAGGGCAGGAGCAGGACTTCACACTACCTCGCTGCCTTCTGGAGCCAGGGGTTTCCTGTGGCCACCGTAACCAGTTGCCACCAAACACCAGCTTAAAACAGGATCCAAGGAGCTGCCTGCTGCACATTCCTTGTCTTCCTCCATACTCCTTCTTAAAAGATGGAGTGGAGCATCCAAGAGATCCTCACATTAGGGCTAGGATAGTCAACTAGCCTAAAATAGATACATTTCTCTGAAATTCTTTGGGCACTAATTCCACGCTGCCTCTCTACCTGGGTCAGGGAGAATTAAGTGAAGCTGTTCAAGAGCAAGTCCCTAAAAATACTTGGAGTTCCACCGCACCTCCACCCTCCGGTCACCACCTAGGACATTGGCCAGGTCCTGGCCCATTTGTAACCTACCTTCTCAGACATGCAGTGCGAGACCAGGACATTGCTACAGCCACGAACTGCTGTACTCCAACATGAGGAGCTGACTCAGCTGGACCCGTGGCCAAGATCACACCTCCGGGAACCATCGAGGAGGGAGCTTGCTGATGAGGTGATTTTGTGCAGTTCTCCCCTTCCCAGTAGATACATGCATTGGGGAGTGATGGCAGCTGAGTCACCTCATCCTGAAGGTTTCTCTGAGAACCAGCCACAAAGAACAATGCTGCCAGGATCAAAGACCACCATGTCCCTGCAGTACCCACCAGAGGATGAGAGTAAATCCTTTCCCCTTGGAGACCATGACACACCATGCTGGAGGCACTTGAGAAAAGCCAGACATGAGAGAGCCTTATAACACTCTCACGCCCCTGCCTAGTTCCGGGGTTCTGCCTATCACAAACCATCCCTACCTTTCTTGTCTAAGGCTCCAATTTGCACTGATTTGTAGGTGTAGCCCCTGCAATCCCTAAGAGAAGCTCTGGAGACCAGTGAGGTCTGGTCAGGGAAGGACCAGGTAGGGCTGGAGTGGCATCTCTCCTGGAGCTGGAGGAGCTGTGGAGATCATAAGCAATGCAGGTGAGGGGACTGTGAAGATCTGGGAGCCAGGTGAAGTCTTGAAATCCAAATGTCTGATCTTTCAGAGGCAAAACAAGGACCTTGGCAGGATGAGAGAGTAGAAGTCCATGCTACCCCATTCCTTTTCTAGACTTTCTGGGGTTGCTCGTCTTCTTACTAGGACCCAGATACCATGCTGTAGGCGTCTAGTCAGGAAATCCAGGAACGGCCCCTCCCGGAGGCTGGGAACCACAGGCCATCAAAGGAGTTCCACAGGAATGTGGGCAGTGCTTTCTCAGGCTAGGTTTGGGGCAGTGTGATACCAGGTCATGGTCATAGGGCAGGGCTAAAGCAGAACTCAGGCCTCCAGAATCCACCCCCAGCATAGGGCCCAGTCTTCCAGGTGGCTGTTGCCTGTGGCATTCCACCCATCCTGCTTAGTGTTCTATCCACTGCCTCCCCTTCAGCTTAACACCTGCTCTCAGCTTGAGGGTTACCCCATGACTTCATTGTGCTGTGTCCATGGCTCCTGGACCCACAATGGCTCCTCCCTATGGACCCGGCCCAGCCCATGCGTGCCGGTGCTGAAGACAAAGATGAACATTTCAAGGAAATGAGTTGTCAGACTATTGCTGAGATGGCCTTAGCTTTTCTAGGTATGTCCTCCCAAGAGGGGGATTCAGTCAAGGGTTTAGAGCTTCGAGGGCACCAAAAAGGCCCCTTCAGCCCACCTCTGCATGTTCCTGAGTTGCCCTGGAACCATTCTGGAGTTGCAGGGCAAGGATGAGAGAACAGGTCCCTGGAAACCACAGCCCTGGAGAAAGGTGGGCTTCTAGGACCAGTTCTCAGAGGGGAAAACAGGCAACCTCAGGGATGTATATCTGGGATTGGCTCCAAGTATTTCTTTCAACAGCTGAAAAACTGACTATTTCTTAGGACCACAAAATACCGCAAAGAGATTTTCTAGCTGGGCTTTACAGGAGCGCCTGGCCTGGTACCTCGTCTCCTCCTTCTCGTTGAGTCTGCACCCTCCCCAGCCACCCAGCCTTGCTACTGTGACCTGTTCACAGAGCCACTTGATATTGTGCAGCACTACTGAAAGCTCTAGAATTATTAACCATATGCTCCCTTTTCACTTTCTCCCACCTCTGTTTTGCTGTGTTGGGTCTGTCGCGTTGTGTCGTGTTTTGAGACAAGGACATCCTTTGCCGCTCAGGCTGGACTTGAACTCACTATGTAGCCAAACCTGGCATTGAACTCTCTGTCATCTTCCACCCTCAGCCTCTCAACTGCTGGGACTCCAGGCTTCTGCCACCACACCCCACTCCAACCTCAATTTTCCCATCTGAGATAAAAAAACAATTGCATTTCCTGATTTGACGTGTGCTAGAATTCACTGAGGAAATCAACTGACTGAAGGAAGTGGACTGCCTAATGAGGCTTATGGCTGGAAGATCTTATTTTTTTTTTTTACTCACATGGCAACTAACGGATCCTATCATAAGATTACTCATCCTTTGTTAAATGTAGAGAGAAGTGCAGAAGCAGCCGCTCTCCCCAAATACATGGCAAAATTCTGCTTTTCTCCTGACCAAGATCTCTTTCCTTGATCTCCAGTGCCCTTTATGCCTCACTGCCCTTTGATCTCTGAAGAGCTCAATCTCTGACCAGTACTGAGCACATCCCTGCTTTATGACCAGTGGTGCTCGAGACCACAAGGCCACAAGATCAAGGAACCTACTCTCACTGAGTCTTGCACCCTTCCACAAGCACAAGTGAGGAACAGTGGGCTGTAAGAACCCTATTCCTGCCCATCTCTCAGTCCCATGGATTCTCTGATTGTAAAAATCCTATCATCTCCACCAGCCCCAATCCCTTGTCTGCACTGCCTCCTCAGCCTCCTCCGTGACTCTCCCCTGAGAGTCTCTCCCAGCTCTCATTTAAGGGCCAAGAATGTGGACACAACATCCTTCCCCTAGGTCCAAACAAAGGGTCAGAAGGCTCACTCAGGTTTGCTGCTGCTGTGGTTTGGACCACATGATATCATCAGGAGATGGAGCTGTTAGGAGGTAGTTAAATCACATTTCTGAATGGGTTGAGTCCTCTTATGAAAGAGCTCCAGTGGGGAACTAGATAGAGCTTTTAAATTTTTATTTATTCTAATGAAAAAAGTAGATATTAATACCAAAAATATAAAATACACTTCTGTGGAAAAATAAAATTTCACAACAAAATAGAGAGTGACAATAGTAAATTCACTGTGTATCATGAGCTTTAAAGAGTATACTTTCAAATGCTACTCTCTCAACTAGTCTAAGAAAACTATGTTTTTTTGTATAAAACATTTTAATTATTAACAAAGTATCTAACATTCAGCATTATTTTGAATAATTTCTTCTTATTGCACAGTATATATTATAAAATTAGATCCTTATTTTGCATTTTTGGTTTCTCACACTAGAGAGTCAATGTGATATTTACATATGTGTGTATTTATTTCATTTAAGTGTATAGTCTCTGGGACTGGAGATTTAGCTCAGTGATGCTGTGCCTTCCTGACAAGTGCAAGGTCCTGAGTTCAATTCCAAGTACAAGGAAAAAAAGAAAAAGAAAAATCAATCCTTGGTACCAGAAAAAAAAAACAAAGAGTATGGTCTCAAGGTGCATCCATTTACATAGAAATGTCTCCAGTTTTCCAGTTTATACATCATTCTGGCTGAATACTCTTGAGTTATTTTTAAAAATCATATCTCTTTATCCATTCTTCAGCTGATGAGCATTTGGGTATGTTTCCAAGAGTTAGCTATTACTGTGCTGCTATAAACATGGGTGTGCATATATCTCTATGTTATGATGCTATTAGTTCTTCTGGAAAGATACCTAGAAGGGGAATAGCTAGGT